ACCACATCTTCTTTAACCATTCATCAGTTGAACCTTACCTAAAATAATATTAAGGTTTACCTATAAGCAAAACTTTTCATTTCTTCTAGACAAGAACATTATTATAATATGAGGGTAAGCTTTATTTCAAAAATTTTGAAATATTCTGCTTTTGCATACAGGTTAAATATATAAGATTTAATTTTCATACTTATTATTTTATTATGTTGCCATTTATGATAAATAACATTTTATATTATTCTATCTAAGTAATTATATTATTATTTATTTTAAGTGACTGGAATTCATTTTTCCACTTTTGTTCATCCTGAATTGTCATAATTATACCTTTCTTTGTTCCTTATGAACTTTCTTACATGCTTAAGTAATTATTTTTCTGTTTCCATGTCTTTATCTCTTAAGAGTCTTTTAATATTAAAATAATAAATGAAATAATATAAAATGCAAATTTTTATAATTATCACTTATAAACATATTTTTGTATTTCAATGAATATGTGTGTTAGTAAATTGGGCATAAAATTATAAATGCCATAAAACTATAACCATCCGTTCAAATGTAGAAATATTTTATGATTCCAGAAGCTTAGACCTCAGTACCACTCAGGTGAACTATCCAGTGATATCTTTTTGATAAGGTAACATTTACAAGGTAAACTTGGAAGGTTTTGCTTACTTGCATCATTAAGATTTTATATAAGTAACGTATCAGCAGCACACACCACAATTAAATGTCCAGCTGGATATACTAGCGTCAGGTAGACTCAGGTTCTAGTTATGAAAGATTAATTCAAAAATAGATCTGTGCTCAATGAAGGCTGGAAGTAAGCACTTTAATATCAAAATAAATATTTAGGGTTTAGAAAATTATATTTATATTTAAAACAATACACAGAATATATTCAGTCTAGGAAATTATTAGTATCAACTACTCCTACATGCAGGCATTAAAAAAGTTCTTTTCCATATTTGTTTGAAAAGTGTAGATGCTTCATTAGTATAAATAGAGTAGTGTGTATATTTTAGTTGTCTAATTAGACAAACCTGAACTTATTAAAAGACCTGGTCATTTAACATTTAATGAGCCAAACACTGCAGTTAATAAATGACAACTTCAAGGATACAAATTTGCATTAAAGGTAGTTTAGAAAACTCTAGTCACTACATTATTTTACTTATCTCTTATACAGTCTTTGTGTTTCTGTTATAAATATGTGCAGAAGATATTCATATTTACTTTCCCAACCCAGATCTGAATTTCTAAGATAACCCTTAATGTCATTTTGGCATTTTAAACTTAAGCTAATTAAGACCAACTCAGGCTACACAGGCAACATCAGCACAGGCAAGTTCCGGAACCCCCTGGAGAATATAAACGCTCCACCACTACACGTTTTCTCTCATTCCTTCTTTTATCTGGTTAATATTCTACTTCTAGCCATCTCTCACTTTAAATGTCTTTTGTCCCTGCCTTCCTCAAACATATCGTATACTTCCCAGTTGAGGACTTCTACTAACCTTTTTTGTGAATGCCCATATTCTCTCTCTTTTACCCCACCCCACACTTGCACACACAGCTTTTCATTGTTGCTGCAATTTATCTGCACCAACAAAGTTGTTCTGATCTCCAGCCCAAAATATGTTCATGACTCTTTCATGTTGTCGTATTAAATGAAGTGTTAAAAAAATTGAGAAACATACAATTCATTTTCTTAAAAAAATATCAATCACCACCCTTTTGATAGTCAATAATCAGCTTTATGGTGCACATTTAATCTGTATATGACCATTTTTAAGTAAGAGAATGGCAAGCACTCCAATTTAATCAGAGCAGAAGGTTTGGTGAGCAGAAGAGGTTCCACCAGTATTAACACTAACGCATTTACCAAAGCTCTTCTCACCTTTGTAATCTTAGCAACGTGGTTTTGTTAACACTCTGTATGTTGGTTTGTGTCCTCCAAGAAGCAGATGCCAAATTGGGATTACACATGTAAGGATTTTGTTAGAGAAAATGCTCTTCAACCAAAAAAAAAAAAAAAAAAAAAAAAAAGGAGGGAGCCTGCATTACAAACACGTTCGGCAAGGCTGTCAGGGAATCCTTGAGGCACAGGCCCAGACGTCTTGTGACCTCGAGGAATGGGCCTATTTTAGCATCTTGACCACATTTAGTCATTGACTAAGAGTTGCTCTTGGAGAGCATGGCCTTGAGGCCAAGAGGTCTCAGAACAGAGCAACTGGAATTCTTAGTGAAATACATCTGTGGTTGGAGGTTTGTATTCTCTTGACCACCACAACCCTGGGAGATGATCCATTTCTTCAAACAGAATATCTAGCTAATCTCATGGAAAACTTGATTGTATATCATTATATATCAACAATTGTTGTTTTACTTACACTAAGCATTAAACTGCAGTGTCAAATATTCCTGTTAATGAGATAAACAGATTCTCTCCATGCTAGCAGATTTCTGTCTAGGAACTGAATTCCAATCTGCAGTTGGATTGGTGAGTGTAGACTCTGAATAAAGTGTTTTAAGTGGACCATTCAAACTTTAATGACACCAGAGTATAACATCAGTTACATTTACCTCCATACCAGGACTATCTATCCCTATCCCAAGAAACATACAGATCACATCTGGGTCTAAGCACCCTTCTTTGGACAGGGCAGGGAAATACTGCTGAAGTATGCCTCTCTGACTTTGGTCTCTAGTGTTCCCTGCTGAGCAGTCCCCTCTCTATTTGCACAAAACAAATCACCACGATGCTGGCTTAAAGCACCACTTTATTATTTGTTTCTACCAGTTTTGGGGTTAAGTAGGTGATTTTTTCTGGTCTTCATCAACTTGACTCATTGGATGGCCTAGGATGGCCTCACTCTTATGTTTGGGATCACAGATGGATGGTGGGAATGAAGCAGTGCGTGGAACCTCTCTCCACATGGTCTCTCATTATGCAGAAACTCAGCCTGGCTTCTTCACCCGGTAGCATAAGTCTCCAGTGACAAGAAAGGACAAGCTCCAGGATGGAAGCACTTTTGAAGTCTTTGCTTTGGTCACATTTCTTGTCCAATTAACTAAGGCAAATCACATAGATAATTCCAGAGTCAGTGTGGTGGGACTCTATCCAAGGTATGGATTCAGAGAGGCCTGATCAAATCAAATTGGGAATGATTCTTTCCTCCTATCTGATTCATATGTTCCTCCTTCTCTCTTCCCTATTTTCTTCTCAGCCTCTTCTTCCTCTTCTTTAAGATTACACAATGGATGAGACCACATCCACATTTTTATTACATTTTCTGATTCTGGTATAAAAGTAAATTTTTACATATATTGAATTCATCTCTAATGTCTTAGTTTTTAAATTCAATTTTGCCAACAATGAAAATCTATTTCTTTTTATGATTCATAAGGACCCTGAGAGTTCATGGGTTTTCCTCAGATAAGAAATTACAGAGGTTCCCTTGCAAATTGGGAATATTACGTGGGAAAATTATGGAATTAAGTTTTCATTTTAGTGGAGGCTGGTCAGTTCACTAAGAAGTGGCCAATCATCACACTCCCTAGTCCTAATAAAATAATGGACATGTATATTCTTCCATTCGGTGGTTACTTGAATGTGAAAATTAAGAAGTATAAATTGAATATATGTGACTTGATAGAAACTGTAATTTTCTACTATATAGCTCTTCTGTCAGCCAGCTGTTTTCAGCCCATTATGAGGTGCTAAAGAGGATGAATGTGAAAACAGCATGTTAAAAATCAGAAAATTGAGGCCTTGGAGTGACTAGTACTTTTCTTGTAATCAAGGCACATTTTGGAGCATGAGATAAAGCTGTACATTAGAAATCTTTATAGGTTGAATGCATCCCTACCTTCTTCTAAACAGAAGTGTGTGGGTGAGTAGCTTTCATGTAATATTACTGTTAGTACATATATGCAGAGCTAAACCGGAAGCATTTGGTGAGACGACACACTTATTTTGGGGGCCCACAACTAGGCTTCAAATATAATTGCTGTCCACCTGTCATTTACAAATACTTATAATGTCCACTTCTAGTCACCTCTCCAGCACTAGAAAATCCACAAGATTGATTTCACTTAAACATATGTTTACTAAAAAAGCATTTAATCAGGTTCGCCATTTGGTAAAAACAACCAATTATTCAGTTTTGTACTATTCAAGCTGGTGTGTGTGTATGTGTGTATGTGTGTGTGTGTGTGTGTGTGTGTGTAAATAAAAAGAGAAACAGGTAAGACTGACATTTGTCTTTAAAGAGTATTCATCTTTAGTGCCTCAGATCCATTCTTTGGTCCCATTGAAATGATTGATAAATTTCCATGTTGACAAAAGATATAGTCCCTTTGACTTTGACTAAATTTCTGGTTATCACTGAAATATGCCTTTTGCTATGGCTATCTTTCCACCAGCCCAATGCTAGAACACAGAAAATTCCTTATTTTTAAATATTGTCCATCAAGCTTGTTGGATTGCACAGCTTCTCAGTTGTCTGAAACTGTGCTTATTATTTGTACTTCTTTATGATTTTATCACAGTGGCTACTTCGGGCCTTCAGATTGCTCCTTTTTGGTTTTTGCATCAGGAGCTATTTGAGTGTCATGCAGTCATTCGCAATTTACACATATCACTCTGGTAGAATTGCTTTTCAGTAATCTTTATGTTAATCATAACTTTGGTACATTCCAAGATTTCATTCTATATTACTGTTTTTCCTTTTCTGGTTAACACAACAAGTGATATCCCAGCACATTTCATCTGATTTCCTGCTGAGTATTTCCTTGATAAAAGTAGCAACTTCCAATTTCTCTTTACAAAAATAAGAATTGAAAATATATACACTTTTACATCACTTTAGAGTTTCATAGACAAAGCTCCAGAAAATAGATGAAAAATGTCCTTTCATACTGTGTTTGTTCAGCTGTACGAACCCCATGCCGCATGTTAACTGATCAGGTCATGTTTTTTGTTTTTGTTTCCCTAGGACTACAATGATGAAATTCGTCAGGAACAACTACGTGAATTATCTTACTTAAATGGCTCAGAGGACTCTGGTCGTGGCAGAGGTATTAGAGGCAGAGGGATCAGAATAGCCCCCACAACTCCTTCAAGGTACATTAGCTCTTACTTGAAAAAAAATTAACAGCAACCAAGGATGGCAAGCCTTTGCTCATCTGCTATGTGCCATAATCATAGCTAGGAATAAACGACATCAACAACAACAACCACCGCCAAGGAAAACAATGACAATGAATGCATATGTAACGCATAGGAGCTTTCATAAATTAACTCATCAAATCTTCCCTACGGGGTTAAGTATTATTCACAGGTGAGAAACTGAGGTACCGAAGGTGTTAAGAATCTGCCCAAGGTTATACAAGTCTGACTCTAGAATTCACAGGAGGAACTTTTGCCAGGTATCTTAAGTAAATCACAAGTGCAAACCTGAGTCTTTGTGTGTGTGTGGTTCTGTCCTCAGGATAAGGGCATGCAGATCATACAATCATTTGCCTTTTTGAACCAGAATGACCTTGCAGAAAGAGAAAGCTAAACATTGGTCTGTGCCTTAAGTGGCCCTTGAATTGATAGTCTTTCTGGATAGGTAGAGACATAGGTGATGATTATATAAATAGACATTTAGATAAACAGGTAGATAATGTATAAACCACCAGTCCAGAAAGCCAGAGCACACCTTTTTATATGGCTCATGGTAAGAGTATTTAAACTTCAGTTACCTTTGACTTTGCAATGTCATTGGTCAACAGAGAGGATTTTACTTGATATTCACTTTCCAAAAATTTGGCATCTTTCTGCATCAGAATTTGTTTTGTACGATTTTGAATTAGTCAAGCTTTGAACATAAAGCATTGGTTTGCCAAGAGGTGAAGCAAAATACATACATAACCTTCACACAGACTGTGTAATTCAGTCATTTTCTTTACCTGATTATAGCTGGCCTTCAAATCTCTAAAGGACATAGATCTAGAATATTATTTCCTACATTGCATAGACATCATCTTCTGAGATTTTAGGATACTTTGCTGATTCAATTTATTTAGTAAATTATGTCCCAAATATTGTTCACCATCAGTGTCAAAAAAATCACTGTTTTAACATTTAAGTCATAAATATCTCCCATTTACAGTGAATCAGGGAAAAGAAATTAAAAACAATAAATTTCCAAAAAATTATATCAAGGTAGAAACTATTTAAAGGTGAAATCTGGCAATTCTGAAAATTACATTTGACTAAAGGAAAAACTTCTGAAAATCTGTGAGAGCTTATTACATTTTTATCTCTAAAAACGAAAAATAAGAGTTCTCTGATGCTAATAAAGAACATTTTTAATGCTAAAAATTAATGTGACATAACTTTTTTGTGGACATACTTTTATGTAATCAGTCTTTCATAAAGCCTTGTTCATTTCTAACCTCACCATGATGGGTTATGAAATGACATCATTGCAGATAATCCTAAATTGATTAAATCATATGCTTTAAGTAATCTGACTGTCCCTTTTATGATTTCCAAAATGCTAAATCTTGTAGTTTCACATGGCATAACCCAGTAAATATTTAGAAAGTTTACAGAGGGGACAAGTTTTTCTATTCTATATTCTTTGAAATTGGGAGCATCTTTAAAACAATTAACCTGCTTTTGAGATTATAAAATCATTGTATTAATAGATTTTGTTTTGTTATTGATCTTCCTTAATGTAATATTATATTTGCATATTTGAGTGGATCCTATAAGATTTCAATTTTAGTAAAGTTTTATTCAAACATATTAATCCCTTTTATGATAAATCATAAGGCATTGGTCCAGATTTTTTTTTCTTTTGTTGAGAGAGAAAGAGACAATGTGAGCAGGGGAGGGTCAGAGAGAGAGAGAGAGAGAGAGAGAGAATCGGAAGTAGGCTCCAGGCTCTGAGCCAGCTGTCAGCACAGAGCCCGACGCGGGGCTCGAATCCATGAACCATGAGATCATGACCTGAACTGAAGTCAGACGCCCAACCGAATGAGCCATCCAGGCGCCCTGGAATTGGTCCAGATTTTTATGTTACGTTAGAATAAAAGTTTCCTTGAACGTTTTTCCTTTTTAATATCCCACCTATCATACAAATCTGATACTATATATGTATTATGTAAAAAGAAGATAAAATTAATGTTGAAATGTAAACCTCACTTCAGTGCTTTACTGATATCATTAATATATTAACATTAATGAAAGTAAATGGACCAGAACTTTGTTGTCTTCTATTTCAAACCACATGATGTAATGTATCTACAATTAAAAAAGAATAAGGAAACAGTTTCACAAAACAAAAAATCATATTGATTAGAAAGTTCTAGAAAACATGAGTTAATGGATGCTAATTTGTACATACTTATGAAATTATGACTTTATCAAGTTATTCAGTTATATTTATATTCAAAAAGAATGGTGCCTGGGCTTTTTGAAAACTTCTATACTAATTTGTTAAAAATGTATTTAATCAAAACAATTTACATTTCAGTAAATAATCTATGAAAAACACCTAATCTTCCAATCATTATGCATACCAGAGAACAAAGTATTGTGTCTATGTAATAATTCATCATACATAATTGAAAAGTTAAGATATTTGACATCTCTGGTGCACCTCATCACTGTATATTGAGAGCAAACTGGAAAATAAGACATTAGAGGCAGATTTTGAAGGCTTTTGTTCATTACAATGAGAATTAATACAGAGAACTAATGGGGTTTCTTGAAGAAAGGAATAATCATATATGTTTCTAAGAAAGGCTGCTCAGTCATTACTGCGAGTGATAGAGAAGTAGAGCAATCAAAGAGACAGTGAGAAAGACCCTGATTTATGGCAGGGAAGCCAGTAAGAAGACAAGTCCATTCTCCAAGACAGAAATGAATAGCCCTTGGAGTATAGAGATACAGGACTAGATTAGAGATCAGAGTTTATAAGAATTAGTACCGTATTAGATGTTGGAGAAGAACGAGTGGCCCACAACAAGGATAAATCTTTGACATCTAGCTTAGTTCAAGATTAATGATATCAAATAAGATTAGGTGAAGGACCAAGTTAAACAAAGACTATAGTTATTCTTATTATTAATCTAAGATCTGTGGGGTGCTAGTGTGGCCTTGATCAGATGACTTTTACTTTCTGTGACGTGGTGCTCAACCTTTTAAAGTATCTTAGAAATGGCAACATGACAACTTTGTTCAAGATTTTTAAATTAGATGATACATATAGGACAGTGGTTCCCAAATTGGTCTACACAGTGGGATCACTGAGGGCTTCCTGCCATTAGAGATTGCGATTTAATTGGTCTGAGGTGTGGCCTGGATTTTGGAATTTTTCAAAGGTCTTCAGGTGAATTCTGATATGCAGACAAATTAAGGAACCTCTGCTATAAGGCATATAATCCAGGATACGGCATGTGTTAGGAAGGAAACAGGTAATAGTCATCATTAGCACTAGATAATGCAACGGTACAAAGAGGGCATCTTCTAAATAGTAATCCACAGTGATAACTATAACAAGTTCAGCAAAATGGGGACTGTAAATGAATCCGGTAGATTTGGAAACTGGTAGGTTACTGGTAATCTCAGAAAGAGTATTTTCAATTAAGTGAGGAAGCAATAACTAGATTTCATTTCAGTTCAGGAATGAGCAGGAGGTGGAGTATTAAGGATGGAAAACTTTTGAGAAGTCAGAAAAATGAAGAATACTGTAGTGTAGACTCAGCCAGGGACAGTATTCTAAAATAGATGATGTGAAACTTCAGCTGAATTGGAGAGGGGAGATATGAGATTAAAATTCCAGGGAAAGAACATCTTGTATGGAGGTGATGAGTCAGATGCAGGAAACACGTTTTCTGGAGCTGTGTCTGGGACACAACTGACAGAGGAATAGGATGAGAAATTAGATTTGATGTGAGCGTCACATAATTTTAAAGCAGGAATAATTGTTACAGGTTGAGAGATCTGATTTTACCCATTAGAAAAAAAATCCACCTTAAACCCAGGGAGTTAGGATCCTTCCTTGTGATTATTCATTAAGATAGGACTTGTGAAACTAATTTACTACCCACACCTGGACACTTTTGAGACTTTAAAATGCTAAACTGAACAGGAAGCTAGGACAACAGTTGTATATTAGAACTATTCTGGGCAAACCTGGATGTATGCTCACCCTACTTATGAGGAAACAGACCCATGGAGGCCCCGTGAAGCTAAAATTGGTCTTTACATCATTTTTCATAGATGTGTTCTATATTATCATGATAATATAGTATATTGTATTCTCAGCTATTGTTGTATTTGAAGCAGGCACTGGGCCTTCTGGGTCTTTTGTATTTCACCTTCCCCAATCTAGGAGAGTATTCTCTATACATTAGACTTACAATAAGTTCTCTGATAATTTCTCTATTCATCAGCTCTATAATCTATTTAAAACTTTTAAAAGCTTTACCAGCATTCTTACTGTTCACTCACAAAAGCTCATTTTCTGCAAGCAAGAAAGAGCCAGCTGACAGCTATTCATAGCAGAAAGCCTAACCTACATCCCCCGTCTGTGGGTGCAGCCAGTGTGATTGTTGACATCCCAACGATCATCATTTTTCCCAAAGCTTTAGTGTTCCTGCTGAAAGCAGTGCTTTCTGGAGGCCAGCCTTTCAGACATACTAAAAGGAAAATAACTACGCTTTTGCCCAAAGACTTCAAACACTCAACCTTTCCAAAGGCCTTGGAAAACCATAAAAGTTGGCTGCAACCATTTGATCTTAGGCTTTTAATACAAGTTACTTTTGTGTCAAGCACTGTAGTACAGCGCATTCAGTCTATTCTTTTTATTGCAGAATCCTAATGTATTTCACTAATACCATAGTTACCATAGGAAAATAAATTATATTAGTGACTATACCAGTTCAGAGAGTTGTATGTGTGATGACAAATCAGTGACAATGAGTTCTGATTTCAATGACCTTAAGCTTAAGCTACTATAATAAACAGAACGATACCACTATGCTTAGAGTTCCACATTTTATTAAGGTATGAAAGCACACACAGATTTTTTTTTTGTAAGTTGAAATACTGCACTCACTGTCTGTAACCTCCAACATGGAGGAGACATTGACATTTAGCATCTCAGCTTCGTAGATGGTCCAGTGAGCTATACAGGTTTCCCCTGCATTCCAAAAGTAGAACATTCCTATGAAACATTTCATAAGCTGAAATGTCATAAAGCAAAGAAGCGATTACCATTAATTTATATGCAAAATTTTTGAGTGCTCTCTGGCCCCCCAAAATAACCTCTCAGGCTTTTCTGGTACCTTAGGATACATCTTGCTAATGGATGCACAAAGTAAATGGAGATAAAGCACAGATGCTCACACGGTTCAAAGCCCTGGTAGCTTGATGCTAAGATGCTGAGCATAGTTCTGGGGGAAGGAGCTCGGTGGAGCCATCCTCGCTGCTCCGGATGCACACTGGCCCTAGAATGGCTCACTACAAAACAAATGCCAAAGTCTACTTTGGTTTTTTGCCTTTTTTGATTTCTTTCAGTTAGTGAAAACAAGTGCTAACGTAGGTTTTTCGTAAAAGCAAAGTGGCATAAGGTGAACTTTTGAAAGCCAGAGGATACTTATATGTTAGCAGAAGCTATGACTTGGATCTTGGCAAATCTGGAATAAAATGAGAGTGTGTTGGTTTGTGTTTGGTTGTTTTTTTAATAATAAAGTATTTTGTATGATTTTCATTATAAGTAAGTCATAGTTAGCATTTACAAAATTTATTCTACTATAGAGGTCAAATGCTTTACATCCTCAAGAGTCTCAGTCACACACACACACACACACACACAACACACACACACACACACACTCATGCATACAGAAATAAATTTGGTTTTCTTTCCATCATATGGCGATAAGATGAGAACTCTTTCTGTTTTAGTCTCTTTCTCTCATCGCTGGTTTCTCATCTGTACATGACCTGTTCCTCCTAGGGGCCGTGGGGGTGCCATTCCTCCTCCCCCACCACCTGGACGAGGTGTCCTCACCCCTCGAGGGGCTACTGTGACTCGTGGCGCTCTTCCAGTGCCTCCTGTAGCAAGAGGTGTCCCTACTCCACGAGCCCGGGGAGCACCAGCAGTGCCAGGATACAGGGCACCCCCTCCTCCAGCTCATGAGGCTTATGAAGAATATGTAAGTACCCTCGAGAAATCCATGGTTAAGGAGAGTTCATTTGATTGGGTAACAAGCTAATCTTCAAAGACATCCATATACCATGAATATAGCAAATGATGTTTGCTGCAGAAAACAAACGTCATTTGCAACAGAAGTTAATCAGTGCATTTAAACAAGAGCGTTTTTTAAGAAAAGCTTTTATTTTATGGGGACGATGATTGTTAGTACCAGTTAACTAGTTTGAATTTTAAGAATCAAACTATCCTGAGGTTTTCTAATCTTTAGAAGATCAATCTCAAAATGGAATGTTTTCATTATGAAAACAATGTAAAATGTCTGAGTATTCAGAGGCTGCTTCAGGGACATGTTAAAGACTAGCATAAAACTCACTCAGAAGTATTTGACAGATATAATATGATTGTATTATAAACTTTGGTAATAATGTAAGACCATGTGGTTGGTTTTTCATTTAAATACCCTTGCTTTCTCTTTCACCGTATGAAACATATGAGACTGGCAGATATGAAGAATTTGGAAAATATAGAATGAACAGAAGACACGCAGTGCCTATAAGTATTCCCCTTGCTTCCCAAGCACTGTGTCATTTGATATCTACTTTGACCTTTCCTCCAGGTTGTTAATATTCCACTGGTCACACTGTATTCCAGTCCCTGTGACTAGAATATTGTGAAAGTTATAAAAAGGGACATTTTCCTATTCACTTGTGTAACCATAATAAATCCACTGTGAATGTTAAAGCGAATTGATACAAGCCGATCATCATCTTATGAAACAGATTCATTTTGCCTTTAACCTTTCCAGCATGCTCATCCCTGGTCTAGGGGCTTATTTCATCCAACCACCCACAGACATGACATGCTGTTTTCTTAAACGTCTTCTGTAAATGGTTAATTAAACAGAAACTCTTCAAGGACAGTTACTGTCGCATGTGGGGCACTGAAAACATATAAATGTTCAATGAACTGGTTAATAACCAAGTAAAACTTAATCCAAAATGAAGTGAACATGATTGATAGGTATCACTAAGAATGTATTAGTGCTTAGAGTATGTTAGTATTTAGGAATGATGTTACTGCTTAGTACAAAACATTGACTAATACTTGCAAGAGGAAAGAAAAGTTAGGTTTAGAAATCCATTTCTACTAGAAAAGGAGAAATGTGTTCATCTAAAGTATCTTTTTATAGCAAAAAACTTATATTTTATACAATATCAGGTATCAATATTGAAAATCGTAGACAATTTTAAAATCGCAAAATTAGAAACGGAAAATATGTTCTACCTTGTAAATGAGACCACAAATTAGGAAACACAGGGCTTAGTCTTGATTTTGCCATCTCTTTCCTGAGAAATAAGTATGAAATAAGTATGAACGTGTATTAAATAAGTATGAATGTGTATGAAATAAGTACTTATTAAATGAATGAAGAACCCACAAAATGGGTGATGGGATTTTTTAAACCTCTCAGAAACCTTCTATCTCTGCCATCTTTGTGTACATTGTTTTGTTACCATGGCATTTGTCTCTTCCAAATAGAAGCTTAAGCAGTTGGATCTTTATTTCAAAAATTAAAAGAGAGAAAACCTTTTCAAGTAATAATGGTCAACAGTGTTGTTAATCAGAGAAGTTACAGGGCATGGAGGGCACTGTGAAAGAGAAGACTGGCAAAACATTGTAACTTTTGTACAGCTTAAATGCACTGTAGCCTTTCACATGCATTCCAATTTATAGTTGGATAAATCATTGTAATGCAGGCCAAATAAGAGTAAGCTACAAAACCATAAAAAGTTTATAGAAACATGAGTGGAAAAGGTTATATACTGAGTAGGAGAAGAGTTGTTTTTAGAGTAAGTAAAAGAAAATACATAAAGCCATACAATCTGAATTTTTTACCTAGATTCTAAGGCATCCAGTCCCTTTTATTCATTCACTCAATCATTTACTGAGCCTCAGTCTTACTTCAGGTACTGTTCTGAAGGCCCTGGAGATGTAGCTATGAACAAAATAGACTAAATATTTGCTTTCATAAAGTTTGCATTTTAGTGAGGGGAGACAGAAAACAAACATATATCAATAAATGAATGAAGTGATGCCAGGCAGAGAGAAGTGCTCTGGAGGGAGGTGGAGGGAGAGCACTATAGTAGCATGGGCTGTTAGGGAAGATCTCTCTGCCGTAAAGACTTGAACAAATGCCTAATGGAGCAAGGGTCCGGCTAAGAGACTGCCTCCATAAAGGGCGACCTTGGTAAAGGAAACAGCAAGCACACATGCCCTGAAATGGAACCTGCTTGGAATATTTGGGGGACAGCAAAAAGAACATTAATGCTGAAGCAGAATGTGTGAGGTGGAGGTAGGAGGTGAGGTCAAGGGATGGGCAGGCCAATTCATGTTGCTTTTGGAGTTTGGGGCAGGAGAGTGACATGATCAGATTTATGTTTTAAGAGGTCCTGTTGACATCATGGAAAACAGAATATGGGGTGGGGGTGTGCCAATAAGAGAAACAGAGACTGGTGAGTGACTCATTGCAGTATTCCCCACTGACAGAATGGTGGCTTGGAGGGGATGAGAAGAGAGATCAGAGTCTGAGAGCGCTGGGCAAAAGATCTGTTAGGTTTGTATGATAAAACAGATGTAAAATGGGTGAAAAAAGAAACTAAAAGGAGATTTTTGTGACGTTTCTGTGAAGCCCCTTAGCCTGGACCCTTGCTCCATTAGCAGGTTAAACTGAACCTTGAGGTGCACAAGTGGGTTACATCGAGGTGTCATTTATCGAGATGAAGAGTACTGGGGAGGGAAGCAGAAAGTCAGCTGGGTTGCTGGGGGGACAGGACCTGACTTTTAAAACAATACAGCAGCAGCCGGAGGTTTGCATTCTCATCATGTCACTAGCTGTGCAATTTATGAACACTGAGACTTAGATTTCCCTTCAACTTGGGTTTTCCTTTCTATTGGAAAGGGGAAATGAATGTGTTCATCTAAAATGTCTTTTATACAATATCAGGTGTCAATATTGAAAACCTTAGACCATCTTAAAATTGCAAAATTAGAAACAGGAAAATATATTCTACCCTGTAAACAAGCCCACAGATCGGGGAACACAGAGCCTGGTCTTGATTCTGCTATCTTTTCCTGAGACACAGTATGTATGAAATAAGTTAAATGAATGAATTAAAAATCCATCCACAAAAGAGATGGAGGGAGGTGTTATGGGGTGCTATATAAATAGTCATGAAGTCCAGTAATAGCAATGCCATCAGGCCTTAAGAAAATTCTAGAATGAGGAACTAGAAAATTGTCAAGGATCTGTTTTCCTATCTCATCTCTGTTCTCTGCATATATGTTTCCATTCACTTAAGTCTACAGACTGGATTTTTTTGGCTTCTCTTGATCAGTGTATGTCCACCCTAGGGCTGCCACATTTGTGTCCAGTTCTTGTCACCTACAGACACTGACTGTTGTCTGTCTGTCAGCCCCAGTCTAGATCCCCAGGTGAGGGAGTCATACTCACCTAGGCTTGTCAGGTGTCCAACACTAGTCAGTCAGCCATGACTAGGGGCAGTTTTAAGTCTGGGATCAACTACTTACCAACCGCCCTTAGTGGCAAAGGTAGAGTAAGGGTCAAGTACACACAATATGAGCATGGTTATTGGGGGCCCAACCCCAAGGATAATATGGGGAGACACTAGTTACCAGAGGAGAAAATATTATGAACTTGGCATATATCCCAACATATATCTATGATAATACTCTTGATAACAGGCAAAAGTAGATAGGTTTCTTTAAATACCCTTTTATGCCATGTTTTATAAAAATCTGTCATATGTCATATTTTGATTTTTCCCTACAAACAATTCAATGAGTATATACAGAGTTTAATTCATGTTTAAAAAAGCTGCTGCCAGCACCTCTGAAGTCTCAGGGCCAAGCTCAGATTAACACTCAAGAGCTGCTACTCTGCTCTAATTTTAAACTATTGATTCTTCTGTAAGGGGTAAGAAAAACAAAAGTTTAAGTGTTTCCGTAACAAAATAATAGCACCGTGCTGAGTTGATGGTGAAAATCTCAAAGGAGTTCTTAACTTTCAGATAAAATTTCTTAGAAAAGGTTCCCTTTATTATTAATGACACTGTGAGCCAATTCACTCCTCAGACTTCCCTTTCTCCCCTGCTGGGCCCAGCATTACATTTCTGACCACACAGAATGTATATAGGTAATCAAATCCACTCCTTGCAGCTTGCCTGACAAGCAACAGCTTACAGTAAATGAGATTGCCATTTAAAACCATCATTAGAGTTAGCAGAGTCTGAAAAGAAAATGTGAATTTTGGTTTAATTATTATACATTCTAATTCAGAGTTTAAACAGCTTAAAATCTCTTTTCGCTGAACTTCTACTAAGTACATTTAAATTTTACAGATCCATCATCATGGTCAAAATAGATTTGGGGAATTGAAGAGCAGAGTTCAAAAAATCTCCCACATAACAAAATATGAAACTGATGAGCTGTATCAATGGATAACATATTAGGAGCAAGTAAACCGATACATAAACTTTTGAATGCCTACCAGGTTCCAGTCACTACTTTAACTCACTTAATCTCATGATAATACAACCACCAGTTATTGATGAGCAATTTTAGTAGGAGAGGAAACTAAATTAAGACTTGCATGCAATTTTCTGTCACCAAACCTCCATATCTTTGTCATCATAAGATATCCTAACTAGTACGTGCTTTACAGAGAACTCACATGCACATATACAGACCATTTGTACTTTGCACCTCCCATCCAGACCACTGGTCAGGACTTGAATACCCTCAGCAATATTCAGGATATCTGCAGCCCCTACAGGAACACCTCGAACTATGGAGAACTCAGTACTTCTAGAAACTAGGTGCTGGACATACACAAACTGGTTAAAGAGACACTGCCTGTACTCTCAGAAAGCATGCCATCTAGTGGGAGAGACAAGAATTAGCCTAACAATTAACAGAATATGT